TAGAACAGAACTTAACATAAGAGCAATTAACATATATAATAATTAACTGTCTTCATATCTCTGAGAGATATTAATTCCTTTATAGTAGCTATGAAATATATTAATTCTTTGCAAACCTACATCACTCACAAATAATAACCCAATATTAATGCTGCTCTGAAAGCTTCCCATGTTATTTATAGGTTGGAAAGGATTACAGCTATTGATTGCTGCCTAGAGAATGCTCTTTCTGTGAGAAGCCAGGCACATGGAAGTGACAGTCAGCTGAGCTATTGACCTACTCCAACAAAGAAACAGCACTCCAAGAGAAGGACAGTACTTTTTCACACCATTTATTAAACCTTCAATAATACTTATCAAGACACTACAGAGATTGGTATGATAGGACTGAGCAATCTTAAGCCTAGTAGCTTATAAGTACCATTCAGAGTTTTGGGCTGACAAGTTATAGTTCTTTCCCTTTGGTGAGATAAAGGCAATAATTTTGAAAGAAAGAAAAAAAAAGAGAGGCCATTTCAATTTGCTGCATGGGAAAGGTAAATGCAAAATTTTACAACTTTCAAAAGAATGATCAAGTTTTTACTGATTCACTATGTTAATGTATTTTTGCCATATAATTTATATTTCAGAATTTCAATCAATTCATTCCTTGAAGCACAAAAGTCTACATCAGGGGTTCTCAACCTTGGCAACTTTAAGACTTGTGGACTTCAATTCCCAGAATTCCTCAGCCAGCTTTGCTGGCTGAGGAATTCTGGGAGTTGAAGTCCACAAGTCTTAAAGTTGCCAAGATTGAGAACCCCTGCTCTACATGGACCATCTATTAAAAAGGTTGAGAACCACTGATCTAGTAGGTTAGAAGGTTATAACTATAATTTGGCAAGATTCTCTCCATTAAGTGCAATCAAATAAAGGGTTAAACTCCTCTGCCTAAAAACAACGGATCTCACTGTGTAGAGCTTGGTTCTGACAGTATTCCATTCTTCCTTTTTTCCTTCATCCGTTGAACCTTGGAAGGCCTCACATTATCAAGTCCCTGTTGAGAACTTACTTCCCCTCTTCTTTGTGTGTTGAATTACTTACTCAGGGTCTTTTACAGTTTTGCCTACTTCAGAAAGGTCATTTCATTCTCAATCTTTTTATTATTTTGGAAAGTTTTTCTTTTTAAGTAAAATTACAGTACCTGGGTGAAAAAAATTGCTTACATTTTGCAGAGTAGTATTAGCAAAAAAAAATCTAAGATTAGGAACATCAATATGAACTGCAGTAAGTTTTGGTTTTTTGTTGTGGCAAAGGGATCCATATTACAAATATTTTTGTGAGCCTTTGAAATGCTTAGGATCCATTTAATATTCAATTCCTAAATGACTCTCTTCCCCAATTCTCCATGTTATAGTTTCCTTGCTGGTGTTCTGCTTTGATGGACCAATGATAACTTTTTGTCTATTCATGTTTCCTTGTCCAAGAAATTGGATTTTATTTTCTCCTGATGATTGACAGAAGGCTTCAAGAAATACTATATGTCTGAAGGAAGACAACTCAGAATTGACTTTAATGGAACTTTAAAACAAATTCACCTATTTACAGCCAGACATACTGCATCCCTTGTTTTGAAGGTGCAGACCTTCAAAAGACCTAGAGATAAGATGAAGTGTCACAAAACTGCAGAAGAGTAAACATATTGCCAATATTCCAAAAAAGAGAAAAGGAAAAACATAAGAAATTATGGACCAGTTTTAAAAGAGATTACAAAGAACATGTCTATAGGCAGTTAGAAAAGACTGCAACCATTACAGGAGCCAGCATGAATCTGTCAAGAAGCTATGCCAGAGCAATGGTATCTGTGTTTATTATAGAATAAATACTTAAGATGGACTAAGAGAAAGTTATAGATATAAAATACCTGGATCTCAATAAAATTATTATGTTTTTTCTAGTATCCTTGTGGACAACACAGATAAAAGTAGGCTAGCTAGAGGATAGTGTGATCCACTGGATTTTCAACTGCTTGAATAATCACGCTCATATTATAAATGGCTCTACATTGATGAGGATGAAGTACTGGTTGGGCTCCCCAGTTCTCTGTCCTTAGCCCTGTGCTATTTAACATTTTTCCCAGCAAAGTGACATGGCTATATATGAATGTATATGTTGAGATAACTGGGAATACTGAAATGGCTTTGCACATAAGGAGTCAGGTGGAACTGTTGAAGCTGTCTGCATGAATCCAGAAAAACATGTAGCTACTTTAACAGTTTGAAAAGTTATTCATAGCATGGAAGAGTACTATGCAATGCAGCAGCTAAAAAGATCAATGCGATTTTGTGCTTTATTAACAGAAGCAGAACATCCAGCTCATGGGAGATAACAGCCGAACTGTACTCAGTTACAACACATTTGTATCTAGTTCTAACTACCAGACTGAAAGTGACACAGGAAAGCTAGAGAAGGTTCAGAAGAGAGCTACCAGGATAAATAAGGGACATAGAAACCAATCCCTTTGAGAAGTGATTAAAAGAACTTAGTCTGCAGAACCTGCATATTAGAAGATTGAGGCAAAATACAATAGCAATCTACAAATATCTAAACTGTTTTCATGTACAAAAGGAGGCTGGTTTCTTGTTGAAACTGAAGATATACAAAGCTCCAAGAGTCTGAAATTAAAAAGTTTAAAATTAAATTAAAAATTAAAAGGACAAGATTAAAGCTGAATATTAGGAGGAATTCTCTGATAATAGAAACTGCTTTTTTTAGACCAGCAATAGAGTCGTTCTCAGTGGACGTTTTCAAGTGGGATGGATGACTACTAGAGATGGTTTAATAAATTTCTTAACTAAAGATGACTAGCTGACTTTCAAAGTTCCTTCCAATTCATTTCTATGATTTGATCTTGGCAGATTATCCTAATACATATAATAGTTTCTATAGCTAACCCAATGGCTCAAAATTTTAGCCATTTTCTGGAATTCATGTACTGTATGTGCCAGTGTAGAGAATCAGAGATCATCTTGGAGAAACTAATCAAGGCTGTTAGAAAAAAATAATTTAAATTCAGGAGGAGAAGAAAATAATAGAAACTCAAACCAGCTTTCCCTTAAATTTTTTGAGTATAAGAAAGGTGGGAGTTATGTTTTCAAGATTTCTTTTCATCCAGACCAGGCATGTCAAACTGCAGGCGCATGGGCCGGATGCGTCATGCCGAAACCGTGCCCACCCCATTGCCGGCAATGGGAAAAAAGTCGTAACACGTTGCGTGATGTCATGAGTTTGACATGCTTGATCTAGATTGTGATGTTTCTCTGTGTCATATGGGTGTGTGTATGTGTATATATGCATAATGGTATTTTTTTTTGACAGCTGAATGCAATGCAATTTCATTTTAATGTATGCTGATTAGTGTACATTTAAAGTGACAATAAAGATTCTATTCTATTCTATTCTATTCTATTCTATTCTATTCTATTCTATTCTATTCTATTCTATTCTATTCTATTCTATTCTTGTATTGATAAAGTAAAGTTCCAGTCATTCTTATGGTGTCTTGTTTTCTGACCCGACCATCTTTAAGAGTTTATAGCCAAAGGTCTGCATCAAATTGTTTCAGATGAAAGTTCATTATTTAAAGGATTTTGGCATCCAGCTGTAATCATCCAGTTGTGGTCTACAATGAACAAATGTAAATCATCACTCCAGCATGATTATAACTGGATTTGAAGAGGGCAATGATCTGCTATTTTTCCTGATAGGGAAATAGACATTAAGTCATCAAGATGATGGCTCTTCGCAAAACAAGGTATCGGGTTCTATAGACACAAAATATGTTCACTGAATTGGAGGAAATTAGTTTAAGAATCTTGTCCTAGTTGTCCTGTTTGAGCAAAACTCTAAACCAAAAAGCATCCAGAATTATTTCCAAGGGATCCACTTGTTGTTTCAATGTTTATACAATGAACTGGATATTATCATGGTTATTCAGAAAAAGTTTTGATCAGTATATTAATCAAATATGGATTATGAAAATTCCCTGCAATAATAGGTAAGCCCCCAAACGGTACCTAATGACCTGATATCAAGCCAAACTATGTGCCCATATATTGCTTCTTTACTGATGAGAGTTTCATAGTCTGAAAAAACTGAAGGCTTTTGTTTCCTGAGTTTCTTGGATACCAAATGAATCCCAAAGCATCACATATACCTAATGTTCCTTATCTTCCACTTGGGTTATTTGATTCAAATAAAAATATGGAAAAGTTCTATTTAATGGGATCAAAACAAGCATTTGAAAGAACCTTAGCCACTATCACTCTAAGCTGTGCCCCGTTAGGCTTCACATCAAAACCATTCTCCTCTTCCTAGGACCCAAACTTTTCCAACTCTCTGCACCAATGAATGTGTCATCATCCCTGAAGTGAAAGACTGAGCAGGTGTTGTCCAATCTCCTGCACACATTTTTTGCCCTTCTGGTGAAGGAGGGAAGACAAATGAAATGATATGAGGCATTTGGCTTGCTACCTGGTTTTCAGAGGCCCATGCCAGATTCTGAATCACTATCAGTTATTAGGGGATGAAAACAGGAATATATTAACTGAAAAACTCTCAGTGATGTTAAGAGCCTTTTGACTATTAACCAGAGACTATATATATGTCAAACATACAAACAATAAAAAGTGAAACTTATACTATTACATTGTCATCTAATGTGATTCATATACAAATTTGTATTGAGAATTTTGCCAGTTTTTTTTCCCTTCCACATATCACATACATATTTTTCTTCAATATCCACTTACCAGTTTTGAGGAAATCTTGTAATCTTGAATGCAGCTATGTTTATGCACTCGTCAATCTACATGCATTAAATGTATCAGTAGGTTTAAACTTGAATGAATCTAAAAATGCTGTTATTAAAGAGACTGAGATATATCATGTTTTTCAACACATGGATTCCAAAAATAGATGAATTTTTCAATCCTGATATAGAAACAAATGAAAAAGGATACAAGCTCTGATAGAGAGTTATAAGAGATTTCACGGCTCTGCTGGCATTGATACATGTGGCCCGCACAAGATTTGGCAACAGTTTTGCAGTCACAATTGCTCCGTTAAACAAAGGACCAAAAAATGGGACCTGTCAATAAACAAATAACATGAATATAAAACATGAAAGAAGTGAAAGAAATTCCTGTGGCAGAATTCATATTATATTGCAGTTTTTAGCAGCAAACGTATAACATCTATGTGCACGCATACCACTGTAAAAGATTAATTTCCATATTTTTGGTGGAAATCTTTGCTACACTTGATTGCTATTACATAAATCAACCAATATTTATAGCATTTGTACTGGTTTTAAAACAAAATCATCATCTCAGAAACAACAAATATAATTACATACATAACTACATAGCCCATTAAATATGAAAATAAGAATTCTGAATTTAGATACAAGTACATCCCTTAATAATCATTGTCAACTTTGACAAATCAACATGCATGCTAGTTCAATGAGAAAAATGTAAAAATGATAGAAAAGGCTGCTGCCAATGTGAGATCAATCTTTATTTTAGGGGGTTCATTCATTATACATGAAAATAATTTTTTGGATGGGATTGATAATGAGTTTAATGGGCTAGGATATTTAGTGATTCCAAATGTAGTGCTTCTAGCAGCCAATTAAATGTAGAAATATTTGAATTTTCTTCAACATACAGTATTCTTTCTGTTTACATGTGTGTGTGTTTATATGAAAAGCAGAACACTAAACCTGTGGTGACAAACCATCTGAGGATTACAAATAGAGGATAGGGGTATCAAAACTGCAGATATTAAAATAACTATGAGATTTCAGTTTGAAAAACCATCAAATAAAATGTACCATGTTTAATAAAACTATACTGTAGTCCATTACAACATATATGGAAAGTATGAGCATTACAACATATATGGTTTCGTATGAGAGTGTCCCATAGATTTTTCAAAATTCTTGTGATTGTAAAGCAATATTATCTTTATTTACATTTTTGCTTATTTTGTAATTATTGAGCAAAATGAAGTAGTGCTATGACTCAATTAAAATACAGTCAAGTTTAAACAAACCATTTTAGTTCAGAGCCCTATCTTCGATAGTAAGCAACATAGTTTGAAAGCTTGTGAATGAGAAAATTATTGTACCAAATGGCTGAGCATTAATCTTTGCTGACTAGGTTCAATATAACGAGGCATCTGTGTCCCAGGGACCTCTCAGTGTGTCCCTGGCGGTATGCACACTGTATGAGTCTGTGTGGCATTCTTTGTCTGCTTTTACAGGCAGCTTTTTGCTTCATTGTTTAGAATATCTTAATGCATCAGTGATGGGTGGTATGCATTCATGCTAAAAGACTTACTATTGTTTTTTCTCAGAGGCTTTGTTGAACAAAAGACTGAATCATAGTTCCCAATAATTATATTGGTTAATTAAACAGACAAAAAAGTTTGTCAATCACTGCATGGTTACCAGGCAGGAAGATAAAAATGAAAACAATAAAGCTGTAGCAATAACAAAAGTAACAGCTATCGCATTAGAGGTTCTTATATCACGAAGCTATTAATACAAAATTGGTAAATGTTAACATTACTCCAGGTGTCTCTACTTGAATGCAAACAAAAAGGCTAACATTATGAATGTAAAAGGCCAAACGTTACCACGGATCCTGAAACCTGAAAAAGAAGTGACAGCTTTTTCATTTGATTAGCGAACTCAATTTAAATACCAAGAATTGCAACCAACCAGCCATTTATCTCTACAAGACACTTTCATTCATCCCATGGTCAGTAGCTGATTGACCAAAGGTTGGTCACATTTGCCCCTGAAATGTGTTGAATAGTTAATTGTATATTATAATTATATTTTTAATAGACAGTAAATTCCACTTCGGTCTTATTCTTTCTACAGGATTTTTTAATGCATAACTTAAACAGACAAACTTCTTCTATCATATGTTTGCAAAGATATTTTAGACTACACTTAATCGTTGTTTTAAGAAAGGTGTCTACAAACTGAATAACAGCAATAAAAGAAGCATTATAAAAGACAGGGCACCAGAGAGGGAGATTCTAATATTGAAATATTTTCTTCCAACTGGTCCCTTCCAAGAGTGAGAAATGTTAATACTGAAGGGTCCTTTGATCCACAAAAAATGTCTTGTATGTATCCTGACTTACAGCCTAAATGTTGGAGATATGGATGTTTGGATGCTACTTATTATCATATTTGGTGGTCATGTAAAAATATAAAAGCTTTTTGGATTAAGATATGGTGGAATATCCAAAGAATTTTTAGAAGAAGGGTAAAATTTACCCCACAATTGTTTTTGTTAGGTATTGTTTCTGATTGTGATACTAAAGAGACTACATTGATGTTAAATTTAATCACAGCGGCAAGGTTGTTAGTAGGGCAATGTTGGAAGAAGGAATCTTTGCCTACCTTGCAAGAGTGGTTTTTTAAAGTTTCTTATTTGGCGGAAATGGCAAAGATTTCGGCTTTTTTGAAAGACCAATCGCAAGAGAAGTATTTTTTGGTATGGAAAAAATGGATAGACTTTATACAATATAAATTGGATATAAAAATATTATTTAGCTTTTCAATAACTTATATTTAAAACTTTAGATATTTCATAGACTTTACAGACTTTTTAGACTTTTTTTCTTTTTTTTCTTCTTTTCTTTTTCTTTCTTTCTATTTTCTTGTATTTCCTTGTATTTTTGTCTTTTTATACATATATTATTGTTAACTATTTTATAACTTGTTTAATCAATGTACTTAGACTTGTTTATGGTTTATATCTGTTTTAAGATTTTTTGAAATTTTTTTAATTAAGCCTGTATTCAGCTCTGGGAAGGTCGGGGGAGGGTAGGGGAGGGTTGGAGGGGTTCGGGGAAGGGATTTGTATTGTTTTGTAAAATCTAAAAATTTTCAATAAAAAAAAAATACTGAAATCAGGGTCCTTGGTGTTCTCGGAGTTTGGTTGTTTTCTTGCAGACATTTCATTACCCAAACTAGGTAACATCATCAGCGGGTTCTGAAATAGTCTACAAGAGAACAATCAAGCTCAGGGAGCACTTAGGACCCCTCATTTCAACCCTCAGCTGCAAATATTCCCCTTTATTGATATTGATAAAATATTGGGATGAGTTGGGAAAGAAGAAATTATTTTCCGGAAAGCTATAATATCTCTCACAATCCTATTCAAGTAGCCTTCATTTAGTGACTGCCTTATACAGCAGCCATTTGCAGTTATAAATGTGATGAAAAAATAACTTACAAACAGTCCTAGCACCGACAACCTTTGCAGGTCTATAAAGGAAAACTGAAGGAAGATCGCAAGCCCCGTTGCGGTTCACTTAGCCAACCAATTTCTTAATGACCAAGTTGTCAATCCCAAATGTGGTCAATAAAAATGAAGACTATTTGAATCAAATTACTGATTTATAGAGAGATAAGCTTCAATAAAGGAGAATAAATATGCCCTGGCAAGGCAAGCTACTATGTATAAGGAGCAAAACCTACATCAGACATGTCAAACACAAGGCCTGGGGCTGGATGCGGCCCGTGAAGTGGTTTCATGTGGCCTGCGAAGACATCCTGGAAACAGTGAGGGAACGGCCCCCGCTGCCTTGGCCCTGGCCCAGGCCGGCCGGAGGGAGCCAATGTACAATTTTGTGGTGGCCATCTTGTCCCTTGCCCCGGTGGACCTTGCCTTGTCCCTTGCCCCGGTCCTACCCCCTTCTGCCAGAGACCCTCAGATCTGTCCCACTCCTGCCCAGGTCCCCACAGGCACCCTTGTAGAACTGGCCACACCCACCCAGTAGGCCACACCCATTCCATCATGCCCACCCAGTAGGTGCACCCACTCTGGCCACACCCACCCAGCCCCCCAAGGGTAACCGCAATGCTGATGCGGCCCTCAGTGAAATTGAGTCACCCCTGACCTACAACAACTTGCACTGATGATTTACCCAATTGAGTAATGGATGTCTACAAGCAAACAACCAAGCTCAGAAAGCACCTAGGTAAGCTGTTAAGCTAACTGAAATACTCCTGAATCCTCTTCACAAAGAGGTCGTCAACAAAACTTTCAGCAGGTTAAAATTGAAATTTGATTCTTCTGCTCAAAAGCAGTGTTCTCTCTCTTCCCTTTTTCAATGCTTTACTTCTTAATCTTTTTAATCAAGTTATACATTTGAATTTTAAACCCACTGCTTGAAAATAAGGCAAGAAGTTCAGTTTAAAAAAAAAACCTTTGTGACATATTGATAAACTTTAGTCTTAATAACCTTAAAGTGTTATATAAATACATTTCAATGAAAGAGATTTCATTACTGGATGCATTTAATTTCAACAAACTTCAAAATGTAAATGTATATGTCAGATATTACTTCTCTTCATTCTGATGCAAATTTCTAACTGCAAAGGTCTTTTAATTCTCTACACGTCATCTGCTTCTGAATCTGAACTTCTCTTTTCTTTTTTTTCCCCCTGGGTGCTTCAGTGCCTCAGGGTAATGGCAAGAACTATCCCAGAAGGCTGACTCAGTGTGCCATTCTGACATCATCTAAAAATGCATTTATTAAGCAGCTGAACAATTTCTCCACACCAAACAGTGTCACAGGGTGACATTAATAAGCACACATTGAAAAATCTGTGTAAACTGTGAAAAATTACAGCAGCTGAACAGGTGAAAATTAGATTCATCTTTTTCCCTACTGGATACGATTGAAGGCACTAGAGAGTAAAGTAAGAGAAGGTAAAATAAGAGCACATGACTATTCAAAAATTACAATGATGGTTATGCGTCATTTGATATCAGATCTTTCTAATGGAACATGAGTGGGCATTTTGAGTTTATGTAACCATGTATCATCCAATCAAAAATAAAACTAAGTAAAAGTGCAAGTTTTTTTCTGAATGTAACCCTCAAACTATAGAATGTTCTTCATTTGTTATTCTTTTTTATAAAAAGTTAAGATAAAACTCAATACGGAATTAAAAGAAAAATACAAAAGCAAAGGCAACTCTTTCCCCAAAAGGAAAAAAATTTAAAAAAAAATACCTTGAATTTATTTTTGGGATTCATTATAAGGTTCAAAGGGCTTTCCCCCCAAAAAACCTTTTGATCATAATGAATGATTAACTGGGCACAACCATTAAAGATGGTATGCTGTGTAAATGTGCTTACTGCCAACACATTGTAGAAAGGTTCAATTTAATGCATTTTGATGACTTAACGAGTCAATAAAAAAACCAACACTTTGCCACAGAGTTCCAATGAGATACACTGAGTTTAAATTCCATGCTCTTAGTTTTTTCAAGATTTCCAAAAGAACCTGTCATGATTGATATATGGATTTTATGTAATACTGAAAAGTTTCTCATAATTTTAAATTATACACATCTAGTAGTGTATAATTCTTCAAAAGATATTAATGGTTGTAAGTGATGAGTTTTAACTAAGCTTACAAAGGAATAATAGAACTTGACTCATCTGAAATAAAGCTGAAACATGACTAATCTTTTTGCAGAAGAGATTTAACAATATGAATTTTCATAAATAATTAAACATTTAACTATATTTAATTCAGTTCTTTGTATTAAATATATTTGCATTTGTAAGATAATTATTAAGAAACAAGGATAGAAATCAGGAGAGCCTTTATTTTTCAACTGTCAAAATTTTTAACTATCAATTTGAAATGATAGGGAATTTCCTTGTCTAAAAGCAATAGTTTTTTATTATTAAAAGGTTAGTGAATATTTTTATTTCATCAGATCATTGAGGATTTAAAGATCCCATGAATACCAGAGTTTTTTTATTGTTTATTTCAATTTATTTTTATACATTAAATGCATGTATTTATGTATATATATATATACAATATAGATGAATTTAAATATATTGTATTTAAACTGCTGGACTTCAAATGACATACAGCAGTACTGAAGGACAATAGAAGGAACATAAAATTATAATATAAAATGCAGGTAGCATAAATAAGCAATAAATGGTGTAATTATTATTCTCCATACTGCTGGATCAGTTCAGTCTTTAAAAACTTCCAGAAAGTCAGTAATGAGGGCACCATTCTAACTTCAGGGGGGAGGCCATTTCATAGTATAGGGCCACAACTGAGAAACATTGATGTCTCCTCTCTCCCTTTTCTTATTTCATGGATTGGGGGGTCATAAACGATTTTGAAGAGGTACATGCATTTTGGATGGATTAAACGGGCTGCATACTTACAGAGAAGGCAGCCTGTAAGCACCTAAGTGTCAGGGGAGGAAGGGAACTGGATAGATAGATTTTTAATTCTCCCTGCCGGATTCCCACAAGGAAACTCAATGAGAAGCCAATAGCAAGTCAGAATTTGTTCCCTCTTCTCCTGCTTTTCTGTCTGCCCCTGTTTCTCTGTTTAAATAAGGAAATGTTTCTGAAACAATGACCCAACAGGACATGGATTGTCTAGTTTTTTTAAAATAACAAATCAAAGATACTTCACATCTCTTTTTAAACCAGCCCTGTTTATTTTGTGACCAGAGTTTTGATTGCCCTGTGTTTTCTGTGGAAGATATGATGCCAGAAACTTTAATCTTAAGCTCCCATTTCTGCTATTCTTAACTACAGGAGGCCTAGCTAGACAGCACAATCTCCATTTTCATCAACTATATCTGGTCCTCTACAGCCACAGTAATGAAGCATCCTTTTACCTCATCATCAAAGAAGTGAGAATATTACCAGTACTATCTTAGACACTTGGCCCTGAAGCCACTTAGAATTTTCGCTGGCTTTTTTGTTTCAACAGTTGGGGTTTCGTCGTTAAATCACTCCACACATCTCCATTCTATGCTTTGCATTTTAATTTCTTAATTTGACTTCACTTTCCAGTATATCTTAAGCATATATTGATTAGATGCCATCAAGTCAATGTCAACCACATAAATAGATAATACTTTAAAATTTAAATTCCTTTTGGAAATATGTCTAAGCATTTATGATTTTTAAAAAAAACCCTACTTCTTTAACTCTGAGGAAATAATGATAGGGGAGGCAGATGTGCCCTCTATCTACCCCAGAAGCTCTAATAGAAGAAAAAACTATTTAACTTTACAAAAAACTGTGGCCTAAGAAATTAGAACTTTCTCAACCCTAGAAACTCCAACAGAACCGTCACTTCTCTATGCTGGCATTTGCAATTACTGAAACAGCCTATATCTTTCTCCTGGGTAGCACACAATAGCAGATTTAATCACACAAGCTGCAGTTGCTTTAGATTTTGTTTATTAGACCAGTCTAACCTTTGCAGGGAGCTATCCAGGGTGCTGTCTGATTATCTTAACTTTGCTTTATTGTTATTGGTTCTGTGCTTTACTTATTTTTGGTTTTTAAGGATGACTTTACATCTCTTCCAGCATATTATCAGGACAGTTTTCAACAAAATATCAAAAGCATGATAAATAGGAATAATGCATACTAAATTAAAAATAGAGAAACTATACAAACAGAAAAATGTATCAAAGACAAAAACTATCAATGCATGACCCATCAACAAAACAGCCTGTGGAAATAAGATATTTACTTGTGGCTTGAAAGTTATCAGAATGAACAGAAGGAATGTTCCACATGCAGGTTTCATCTCTTGGTAGGAGAACATGGGGAAAAACTTGCTGATGATGACTTAAATGTACAGGCAACTAAAAATAGAAGCTAATAATTCCTCATATACGTGGTCCCAGCTATACAAAAATTAGAAGACCAGGACAATTTTTTTTCAATGAAGTAAAGAAAAAAGAGCAAAAGCAATTCACAAAAATTAATTATTGGTTCAAGTACCCCAATTCCAATTAGAATATAGAAATTTGCTAAAGAGGTCTGAGGTTTTTATCTCAGAAAGATGGTCTACAGCAGGGGTGGCGAACCTATGGCACACGTGCCAGAGGCGGCACTCAGAGCTCTCTCTGTGGGCACATGTGCTGTGCCCTGGAGATGGCGAGGGACTGGCCCCTGCCGCCCTGGCCCCGCCCACCCAGTCTGCCATGACCACGCCCACCCGGCACTCCATGATAAATAAGTGGGTTTTGGGTTGCAATTTGGGCACTGGGTCTCTAAAAGGCTCGCATCACTAGTCTAGAGAGTATATTCTGTGTTCACTATCTGCTCACAACAAGCAGTGGGAAATGTCTTGCTACGCAGGAGGATTCCTGAGAAAGAAGGTATAAAGCAAACCCAAATATCTTATTCTGAAGACCGTTTCTTTTCTGGGGAATTATAAAGTGGCATGTCAATTACAGGAGCTGAAAACCAACACAACTAGAAGGCAATATTTGATTTAGTTATAGTACTTACAACAGTAGTAAGAATGTTTTCAAGAAATACAGTATAAAGGCAATGGAAAAAATACCATGCATCAATACTAGCATAAGTGTAACAAAATACCCTGAGATTATATCAGTGTTATTTTCAAGTACAGAAAGAATTCAATATCACTTCAAACTCAATTCAACATCAAACCTAACTTTTCCACTTTTGATTTTTATCTGATTTTACTTTTGTAGTTGCTTTGGATCCATCTTGGTGGTGATGGTAGTGGGAAAGCAGTTATTATTTTAAATATCATTTAAATATTTAATATTATTAAATAATATATCAATTTAAAATTTAAATGTTGAACTTATTTTTTTGTACATTTTGAAGTCATATTTGCACATTCAAGGAATTTTATTTTATTTTCTCTTATTTTTCTACAGTTCCTGAATGTCCTTCTAATAAATGAATGAATGTGTGCGTATGTATGTGTATATAACACATACACTTTTTTCTGCTAAGTTACTAAAGAGGTACAAGTTACACATCTGCCAGTAATTAAATCAATTAACCTCCATTCATAAATATAAGTCAGACTACTTAACATTACATTTTTCATTTCATTAAGGAAAAAAACATTTTTAAAAAATCAGTTTTCTTTAGCATTATGAATGATTCTACTATTATAAGAACCTGACCGTGTTGTATTGAACTTCAGGACCTACCTGTTGTTTCTTCATAATCTCGATGTAAAACATACGATTCCTCATTGGATAAATAATAATTAAAACATCACCAAAATCTGTTGGTATAATGCCCCTGCGATAGTTTCTGGTGTGTTCAGACCAGATAACATGAACTTCATCATTTCCCAAGTGACGAAGCTGTAACAGCAAATGGATTTGCTATTAATCAGAATGACAGAAGACTTTGAGGAACTAGGGTATAGGAATGAAATTACAATGCCAACAGTATATCTCAGGGGTGTCAAACTGGCGGCCCGTGGACCGGATGCATCATAGTGAAACCGTGCCCACCCCATTGCCGGCAATGGCAAACAAGTCGCGATATGTCGCAACATGCCACGTGACGATGTGAGTTTGACACCCCTGGTATATCTGCTTCATGAGAGAAAATTATATAAAAATATTTTCTCTGTGTTAAATAACTTCCTCTTTTCAAACATTATGGAACCTTACATGGTTTATTACCTTGTGGTAAATGAGTAATAATACAATGACTAGAAAATCAACAAAATGGAAGGAATCAACAAGAGAAAATTCACAGTAGATATGCTTTGTATCCACTGCAATTCAGTAATTTTCATTCAAATTTTAATAACTATATTCAGTTAATCTAAGATGAAATTAACAATTTGAATATTACAGAAACAGTTTACAATTTCAAAAGCTGTAGCAAAACCAGTGTTCTGTAAGACTTAGGTTAAAATTAAAATTGTGTTCTTTCTGAAAATAAATTACTTATTTATTTATTTATAAAAGCAGCTGCAATCCGATTTTCACTTACTTAAAATTAGTCTTACTAAACACAATGGGAGTAATCATATATAGCCTTCCATAACAGCAAGTAAAAAAAAAACTACAATCAATATTCAGTTATTAACTAATTACGCCTCAGTTATACCCACATCTACAAAACCATTTTGTGAGATATTAAAAGGCATAATTATAGCACACATTAAATCTCAGTTATATTATTGCCGTAATTTTAACAGTAGAAATCAAAAGTCACAAAGAAAGCTAATAGAAAAAACAGAATTTGTTAGTCCAACGTTGCCAAACAGTATACAAGACAATTTCTTTCTTCTAAGTTTTTCTATACGTATAAAAATTTCAGTGCTTATTACTCTGTAAGTATGTAACGTTAGTACAGGGAATCCTCAACTTAGAACCACTATTGGGACTGGAATATCAGTCATTTAGCAAAGTGGTCACTAAGCACCCCCCGTGACTGTTTCAGTTAGGTGATATCTGGAAAATGATACAAATAATTAAGAAAATTGTGACACTTAAAGAATAACATACATCTTATGGTATAAACTCTTAGATCAGAAATTCTTGGGCTGTTGTGTTGTTTTGCTTCAGAAGGCTAAAGTGACAGTGCCTATGCCCCTGAAACTGAGAGTGAAAACATAGGAGTTACATTTAAAGATTTATTATGGCTAGTGGTGACCTAGTTCATATGTGACAATTTAACTTTGGGGGTATTCTGGTTCTTACAGGAGCTAGAAATCAGAATAATCATTTTTGAATAAATATCTCTTTATACTGCAATCCTGGCCCTCCTGGTTGCAGCCACCAATCTCCTGGATCATCTCCTGGACCGAGCGAAAGAGCTGCATGCCAAGGAGTTCAGCTCTCCTCTGTGCATGGAAAGGAACTGCTCTGATGGGTTGCAGGAATGGTACTGGGATCTTTGGGATCTGGCTTCCATTTCTGCAGCCTTACAAAGGAGTTACCCGTCCCCCACCTAATGTGTGGAAGAGAACGGCTCTGGCTGACTGCAGGAATGGAGCTATTTCCTGCAACTTTGTTTCTGCTGCCCTTTGGAGGAGTTCACGGGTGGACAACTCCTTTGAAGGCCTGAGGAACAGAGCTCAGCTCTCTGAGACCTGAGTTCCGTTTCTGTAGTCTTTCACTCTCAAACGGGGCGGAATCTTACTTTCATGGCAGGTGGCAACAGCTTGCCCATTTTTCCTGTTCTTTTCCCCACAAACTTTCTGGGAAAGCTGGGAGAGAAGACTGAAAAAGGTGATCACATGAGCGCTTGGAAACTGGTTGTGAGAAAAGATTATCAAGCACACAGATCATGATCATATGATCACTCTATAATGGCTGAAAATGCATTATGAGCCGTCAAGCACCCTTTACAAGGCCATTGTAACTTCAAATGGTTGTTAAATTGCCTGTCATAAGTCAAGGATTACCTGTATTAAAAATAGCCCAAGCTGTTAATAGTTAAGAAAGCAACAAATGCTTATACTTGAAATAAACAAACTTAAAATACTGTTTTGTTTATAATAGGTTACAGATTATATATAAACATTTTCTGTGTATGCATTAAAATACCAAGGGTTTAAAAAACAAGTCCCAATTTTTGATAATAGGTATTGAGTTTTAAAATGCAGAAATTAAAATTAGAAATGGGTTCCATATTTTAAATGATCCCAAAAAGAAGGACATCTTCAAAGGACAAAAGTTAGTAAAGACTCTAACTTAAATTTTGCTATCAACCCTGTCCAGTATTATTACATTTCTTGAATGTATTTGGATAAGAAGATACCCTGTAGTTTTTGAACATTTGCTATTTTTTCAAGCCTTTTAACAAGAATTGCATGTTTGGGCATGCAAGTCTATGTGTCATTCTGCAACTACTGCTTAATAAATAGTGATAAAGGATATTTAGCTATTCTCTTTGTCTGCCAGGCTTACACACTAATGCTGACTGGTCATGGTATAGACACCTAATAGTCTGACCTCTTTTCCCTACTAATTGTATTATGGAGCCAGCTGGCTTCAGAAAGGAGTTGTCTGCATGACTGAAGAACTTCTGCTAGGGTTAGGCATGGGTGCTACTTTTACTGAGTAATAGCCCGTCCTGACATCCCCATTGTCTTCCTGACAGAGTGCCCATCCTAAAATCGAAGTTTTATTTGTAAATTAACCAAGAAACTTCCTGCCAGAACAGTGCTGCCTGGAGACTGATAATGTGTGCCTTTCATTCCCTTTCACTCTTACTGTATTCACTGCCAATTTGTTTTCTGCTGCCAGCCAGCCTCAGGCTATAAAAAGCCTTGTAAGACATAAGTGCAATTATAGTCCTGGAGTCAAATGAATTGAACAAATCCAATAGCGCAGCTCTGTCTCCACTTTGGAAACCCCTACAGCAGTTAGATTAGCTGCTAAAAATCTAATCTAGCTATAACTAATGAATTTCTTGAGTAAAGGAGCAAAAGTTCATTGGGGGGGCGGTAGCTGTGTTTCTCAACTGAGCGGCTTTCTGTCACTAATTGATTTTTTAAATAAAAAAGCTACAAATAATTTTGACAAGGAGCTGTTAGTTAGCTGCAGTGCATGCATCTCCATTATGGTTACAAGATGACTGGATTGAAAACAAAGATGAAAAACTATACAAATCCTTGAGACCAAAAAATACCATCAAATGGTTATTTCACAAATCTGTGAGCAATTGCAATTACTTTACTGTTTTTTTCACTGGACTATAAAGAAAACAGAAAACAGAGTTGTCCTTCTGGCTGGTATTAAGAAAACATGTCTTTAATTATTTTATTTAAAATCAACTATTAATATTCCTCAATAGTTGTCAAATTTATGATACTTATTTTAGATGTCATGTGCAGGTGCAACCATTTTACACACAAAAAAGACTCTCTTATTAAATATTTCTATGACATCTGCCTTACACTGTGGGTCAAAAATTATACTGCCTGCCACAGAATGGTCATATTTATAGGCAGTTTTTCTGGGCAGCAGGTGGTATGACCTTCTGTCATGCTATTGAGTTTGTCAGCTAAGCAAGTTATTCAGCTTTCTCCTTACAATGCTTGGAAATTGGCAAATTAAAAGCAAGGGGGAATGATAATAGCAGGAATACAAGTATCACCTAAATAGCTGAAGAGGCAAAATACATTGTTAAATAGAGAAGCAATTTTAAAATGTCTATTTTTGCTAACAAGAGATTTAAACATACAAATTTATATAAAACCTAATCTACAATATAAATATTAAAAGTATCTGCCTCTATAGACAGACTACTAAAAGATGTTATAGAAGAGGAACAAGTTCTACCATACAATATCAAGACTGATTTCAAAGTGGATTTAAAAATGATAAGGTCACAAGAATGGCATGGAAAAAGATGTTACATTGGACATACAAAACAAGCCAGGTAATGTCATAATAATTAAAAAGGATATGCAAATAACAAAGCAAGTGAGTGATTGTAATTGTAATCTTGAATAAAATTACTTCACAAAACCCACAAACACAATAAAAAATCATGCTGCTAACAGGAGGCAACAAGCACTTCTGAAAAGGTCATATGGATTATATTATTTGATATTTAAGTTTATATTTTACCTTTTTGGTCAGTGAGTCATCTGAGTCAAACGGCATTCGTGTAGATACATGAAAAATTACTTCAATAGTTGAAGTAGCATAATATGGGGCTGTTTGTCCTGTGCTACCGTTACGCTGAAGGCCACCCATAAACCCGCAGTGAGTTGAAAGATCAATCTTAATCAAGCAAAAAATAAAGATATTAATCTGCAATTCTAAACAAAGGTAAAGGAAATAACCTCTGAATTTACTGGGACATTTTTACTAAACAAACTTAAAATTAATGTTTTGTTTTGGTTATTTTAGCTTATAAGTCATTCTAATTGAAGTCCACTCTGGTGGCATATATCTGACTTCATTAGTTGGTATAAAACAAGACCCTACAATAAAATAACAGCTATCACAAACATTAAAGTAACATTAAAGCAGACCACATAGCACTAGGCACCTAAATCAGTTTCTTTTATAAGTATTCCTACAAAGAACACTTCAGATTAGATATAATATATCACAGATATCATATGTCATATTATCACAGATGATACACCATTCAGATGTATTAGAAAAGTAAATGGTTTCAGTGACAATTAAATAATGAGGTCTTAAGTCAGGGACTTAACTAATGGGTTGAAGAGTATCCAGAAGGGTGCATAAAGTTCTCTTTATAAACATTTTATGTTAGATTTTCTGAATTAGGGTAACTAAGTGCTCAGAACCAAAATTATTGTGGTAACACAACAGACGTTATGTTGAGGTTTATGGATGTTCCGAGTTAAAAAAAAAATAGATTAGCTTTCCTAAGTACTACCTAAATGATGGTACATGTCTGCTGGGAACATGCAATATGTGAGAGTTGCACTCAGGCTCAGTAACAAAAGAAATGCTGAATTAAGTTGAACAGTTAATCTACAATGTGGAGAAATTATTATCACCAGTTCAAACATTCCATTACCACAATTAATATTATTAATTGAAACAAGACATTTGGGTAATATTTACCTCCCAACCCAATCCGGCAATAAAATCTTCATATGCTTGGCTTCCTTGAGGATTGGACAATATTGAACATTTATCTTCTTGTCCTTCAGCAATGTAAACCACTGCAATCTTGTGAGTTTCACGACTGCAAAAACAAACAAAAACTATTATGTTACTTTTATATATTTCTATTCTGAAGAGTTACTAAAATAGATTTAGAAATAATGAAGAATGTGTAATTAAAAATATACAGTATATCCAAAAAAGGAATGTGTAAAATACAAATGGGGGCAATTTTTAGACACAGGAAGAACCATCAAGAGTAATTAATTTTTTTTATGGCTGTCCTTTGTTACTTGCACTGCTTTTTTTTTTAAAGTGCCTCTGAATCAGTGTTGACTCCTGACAATTGCATGAAAAAGTCCCTGCAGTTTTCTTGGCAAAGATTTTTGGAAGTGGTTTGCCATTGCCCACTTCCTAGAACTGAGAGAGAGAGCGACTGGCCCAGCATCACCTAGATGGCTTTATTCCTAAAGTGGGACTAGAACTCAGTCCTCTATTAGTTCTGATGCTAATATTTCCATTTCAAGTTGTAAAGGTGGAAATTTATGGTTCACTGGATTTTTCAGTGAAAGTTTAGTTTAATGTATTATGATTTGCTTGCTACATTCAAAATGTATCACTTTCATCATATTATAAATTCTGGTCTTAAGCTATGAACATTGAATTGAATTTAAACATATTTGGGAGAAGCACATGTCCATCATCCGACAAAAATTAAAAAATGATAAAAATAAATAAAACATTAAAATAAGTAAAAAAAAATAAATACATTAAAAAGAAAACAAAAAATAAATTCAAAGGGCAGACTCATTAGACCACTAGGTCTTTTTTTTGCTTCCAGTTTTTCTATCTTTCTAACATTCCTCCTTCAATTTCATAATTACACTTTCAAATGTGTTCTAGTCAAATAAAAGTTAGTATGATAAACTCATATAAAAGAATGGTATGGTACAAGTAGTCTTTGACTTATGAATGGTTGCTTAGTGACTATTCGAAGTTACAGTGGACCTCCCAAAAGCTACTTACGATATGGTGCTGAAGTTATGACTGCTGTAAGCACCGCTGTGGTCATTCGCCCTTGTGACTGACTGCAGGGACGTTGCAGTGTCCCTCCGTCTATCTCCCTCCATCTTCCTGGGTCCCCCCAGGCCTTGGGCTTGCTTCCCATTACACTGGGCCCCACACCTGTTCCTCATCTACTGAAGATCTCCAAAGTTCTGGGGTTCAGGTTAGGGAAAGCCACTCTGTTGCTGGGCTGTGTACTGCAGTCCCAGAAGAAGCGATCACCATTTTCTAAGGAGCCACATTAAATTGTGGTTGCTTCCAAATCTGTGCCACGTGGCTCAGCAATGTTTCCTTAATGTGAGCTCCTCAATATTCTGCAGTGTATCATAGTATTCTGCACTGCCGCGGAATGCTGCAGAGCTTTGGTCAAGGAAGCAAAGTAAGCTGCTTTGTGGCTGGGCCTCATGATGCAGTCCCGGAAACACTGAACTGTGGTTGCTTGGAAAATGGCAGCTGCTTCCAGGGTCATGCCACATGGCTCAGCAACAGAATGACTTGTTTTGCTTACGGTCACTGCATATCTGGGTATAGGATGTGTTGTGGTCTTTTTGTTTCCTTCTTAATTTTTTTATTGTTTCTTTTGAATAGTATGTATATGTAAGTTTATCTCCAAGTGACTTATCGATGGCTGATTTATCTGAATAACAAGCTTCGGGGAATTATCTATCATTTTTGGATTTGGCTTGGTCCTCAATTTTCCAGTTGAAATTAAGGGTATGTCCATATATTGCAAGATTAAGAAGTTTGTATTCTGCCTTTTGACTGCTAGTTGGTGTTCATAGATGTACTTTGTCAGTCTTCTGTCTGTTTGCCCTACACAGTGGCTATTACAATCCTTATACTATATGTTGTAGAATAGATCACCCCCTTCCCCAAAATATCCTGACTTTCTTTTTATGTGACAATATTTATGATATTTGGAGAATCATTGTTTCCCCCTTAAATTAACATTTCTCAAGATTAAACATATTTGGTTCTTTTAATATATTCTCAGAGAGCTTAGTTTTCAGATCATCCACACTGGCCTTTTCTGACACTTTGAAATCTTCTTAAAATGAAGTGCATGGAAATGGATTCAGTACTTGAAGTGGGGTCTAACCAAAGCAGGACAGAACAAAACAATTACTTTCAATTATTTGGAAAAGCTTAATTTCTGTTTTTTGTACCCCATCATACTTCTGGCTTATATTCAGTTTGCAATCAAATAGTACTTCAAAATCTTTTTTTTGCAAGACAATAAGCCAGATATCCTCTTTTTGTTCTAAAATCTTCACTAAGTTTTTTATGTAGCTATATTGGCTTCTTTTGTATCATTTATGCTTTTAATTGGAATTGTTTACAATGATGCTTTCAGTACCTCATTCTTTAAAAAATCTCCCCCATCTCCAATCTCCTTCCTATTAGTTATCTTGCTATGTGACCCTTTTATCTTTCTCTGAATTTATTAAAATCTGTTGTTATTCTTTTCAACCCAGTAAAATGTTAGAAATAAATTAAACAACTTGGAATTTGATCCGAACAGTGGCAGAACAATTTTCCAAAACCAAACCAAACCAACCAAATTTGGTTGTGGAGGGAGAAACTGGAAAAAGAAAGATCCAACCGGAGCTACAGAGAGAGAAAAAAAAATTCTACAACAAATTCTACCATATAGGTAATCATTGAGTTATGACAGCAATTGGGTTTGGAATTACTGTCGCTAAGTGATGCAGTCGTAAAACACAATGTCACATGACTGCATTGCTTAGCAATGGCGTTCCTAATAATCCCTGTTGCACTGTTAACCAAATCCCACTGGTTGTTAGGTGAGGACCTATCCTGATCCAAGCCATTCCTAGTTTGGTCTCAATGGCAGCAGCACTGAGGCTGCAGTAGAGCCTCGGGGCCTTCAATGGCCTCAGCCAGCTGCCACTGTCCCCAGACCTCTACTTTAGCTGCAGTGCCGCTCCAATGCCACTCAGGGTTGTTTCAAACCCTGCACCATGGTCAGCCATCCCAGTGCTAGCTGCCTCCATCACTCTATGCTGTACAGGTTCTGCCAAACGCAGCTGACCTTCACCATGTTCCTCCTGCTGCTCAATCTTCAACCCCAGCACTGCCGCCAAAGAATGACACCGTGCAGGGCAGCCACAACGGCTGAGATGGGCAAGAGATAGGTGAGTGGGGGAATTTAAGCACCTTATTGTCATAAGTGTTGGCAGGATGCCGAGCACCTGAATTTTGACCACATGATTGCCAAGGTGCTGCAACTGCTGCAACTGGGTTCCAGGGTAAGTACCATCGTTCAGCACCACTGTAACTTTGAGGGGTCGTTGAACAAATAGTTGTTAAGCAAGAACTACCTGTTATGTTAGAGAGGCAATTAGGCAGAGGCTCAGAAAGTTGCTGATTGTTTTATTTTAAGTCCTTCCTCCTTCTCTGTCATGTGACCTAGAGCATAACTACTTTGGAAATAATTCCAGAAGTCATCCTCTGCATGCTTTCTCTAGCTTGTTTTAAGTCCAAGTTATATGCTTGCTTCAATTTCAATCTTCCTTAAAATCAATCTGTTCCACTTTCTCAATTAATCTTGTCTATTGATTAATATCTAGTCAGGAATAGTATTTGCCTCCATTTTCTGAAGCAGAAAGTTATCTGCCAGGCAAGACAGAATGTTCTGGAATATTATGCTTGGCACAGTTTGTTTCCCAACAAATGTCAGGTTGGGAACTGCTGCTTTGTAAATTCTGCAGTTTGCTTTTAGAATGCATTATCTACATATTTTCTTTGTTTGTAAGAGTGAAAGCAGCCATCACCAGCAATATTACTTTTACAGGTAGTCCTTGAACTTATGACCACAACTGAGATGGGGATTGCTGTCATGAGTGCAGCCATAACCCACTGCTTGGTGCATTTTTTTCTTCTTTGCTATGTGAAGTCAGCCCCTTTCGGCCCAGCACCGTGACACATAAAGTGACATTCTTGTGTGTGCAGTCCCTTTAAGATGCTTTGTGCATTGCTTTTGTGCTCGAAGTCAGTGCCAGCAACCAAGCCAGGCTGGCCTCAACAGCATCAGGAAAAAGATGGCAATGAAGGTTTGCTAGGGTGGCAGAGTGCAAGACAACAGGGGGGCCAAAAGGGCATAGATGGGCAAGATAGGTGGACGGGGGGAATGGAAGCAGAATAGATTAGGTTTGATATACTTATATCCTTTCAGATTTCAGAACTAGCATTGCCCTATGGTATGGCCCCTTTGGATGTGTCTTCTGATGGGGAAGAAGAGGAACTGTCTAACTTGCTATCTTGTTGGGTGGCAACCAATAATGCCAGCACAGAATATATTTTAAATGGAAGCTTTTCTGAGAATAGAATAAAGCAATGAAACCTAAGATGCTACACACGTAATTTTTCTAAACAAAACATCACTTCTCTTTTCACTGTTTTTTACTCAGTTTAGTCCCACGTAGAAACACATTCTTATTTATTCTGGTAAAAATGAGGTCATTATCAATAATTCCATTAACTTGGATAAAACAATACAACAAGCTATAATTTTGTTAACAAGTGAACAAAATATATACTCCTCAACTTTAGTTCTTGGCAGTCCACATTTTTCTTCTTATAAACAATTTAAACATATCTTCCTACATGGGCTGTATTCTTCTCTTCTACTCATTAAACTGACCCTCTGGAGCTCACTTTACTTTTTTCTCTTACTATCTATTTTTATTTTGTGAATTTCACATGTATGTAAGCTATGAAATATAATGTTACAAAGTATTCCTACAGCTACTGAATTCTACTTCATTTGGCATTATTTTAATCTTGGCTAGATATGTCAACAAAAGATCACTTCAAACCATCCATTAAAAAATTGCAAGTTTGTTTTCCAGCTTTCTGAAATAAAGCATTACAATGATTCAAATATATGTCTACTGAGTACTGATTATACAAGCTGAATGTATAATCACATTAATTTTGTCTTTTTTATTTTATCATATGACGATTTACAATATTTTTTGCTGGAATACTATTTACTTGCAGTTTACAAAAAAAAAAAAACCCTGGACAATGTAGTTTTTTTTGCATTGGGTTGCAGTTGCAGACAATAGGTTCGCTTAATGACTGTTATGTTCGCTTAATGACTATGGCATTCACTTAATGACCACTGCAAAAAGATCATAAAATCAGTCACAGTCACATCTCACTCACTTAACAACTGGCATGACTTAAGGTCATAATTCCAGTCTCAATTCCAGTCGTAAGTCAAGGACTACTTCTAGGCAACACCAATCCAAAACTGTCCAAGGGTCAAATTTGTGTGGATAAGTAAATTTTATTTATGTATGTTCAAGACCAATATGGGTTTGTATGGAATTTGTTGGATTTATATTTTGTAATTATAAAGAAAGAATAAGATACCTATTTGTAGAAAACAACATTAAATAATGCAACTGATACTCTTAAGCATATTCATGAATTGTAAGTAATTAAAATGTTTAACTTACCATTGTCTAGAGTCTAAATTTTTCAGCTCTCTCAACAATTTAGAATTTTTCTTCAAAATATTAAAACTTTTTCTAAAATAAATAGAATAAAATTATGGTCGAATATCTCATAATACATAACTGGTATATTTTGTAACTAACAAACTGGTGTATTTTGATACTACCCTGAAGCCCTTTCTGACTGGTTTTGGTTCCCAATAATCCCTCCCTCCAAACCTATTAACTTGTGTTTAATATCAGGATTAAGCTTGTGTCTATTATCAGGATCTAGAGCAGTGGTTCTCAACCTTTTTAATGCCGCAACCCCCAACCGGTCGTAAGTCGAGGACTACTCAACTGGTGCAGCACCGTTTGCAGAATGGGACTTTTGGCGGGCTCAGCAGGGCAGAGACAGCCTGGACAATTCCTATTTGCTTTTGAAAGCCAATAGAATTAGACTCTATTCAAGAGAGTCTATTCTATGGCTTTCAAAAGCCAATAGAATACAAGGGAGTAGCACAGCTAAGGAAAAGGGGAAAAAAATGGTGGACTGCATTGTTTGGCGACCCCCGTGAAATGTTTGTTCGACCCCAAATGGGGTCCCGACCCACAGGTTGAGAACCACTGATCTAGAGACCATTTATGTCATAGTCTTCTATAACTGTTTATGTAGCTTAGTCAGAATGGAAGTGTGTTATTACTTGATTTTTCTCTAAACATGTTGTCTAATATGTATATTTTCTATTTTCAAATTATATTTTCTATTTTACCTATGAAATTTCAATTAGGGAAATTCATTAAAATTGAAATATTTCCAGCTAAAATAGTGTGGGTATGTATTTATGGGTACACACACAGAGACACACAAATTTATCTGAAAGGAAAAATGAGCAAATTTCAGTTAGGTGATATCTGGAAAATGATATAAATAATTAAGAAAATTGTGACACTTAAAGAATAACATACATCTTATGGTATAAACTCTTAGATCAGAAATTCTTGGGCTGTAGTGTTGTTTGCTTCAGAAGGCTAAAGTGACAGTGCCTATGCCCCTGAAACTGAGAGTGAAAACATAGCAGTTAACGTTTAAAGATTTATTATGGCTAGTGGTGACCTAGTTCATATGTGACAATTTAACTTTGGGGGTCTTCTGGTTCTTACAGGAGCTAGAAATCAGAATAATCATTTTTGAATAAATATCTTTTTATACTGTACTGGAGTAGGGAAATTTTTACCACTGAAGAATAAGTTGGAAAATTATTGTTTCCCACCCATCCCAATTATTACTCATAAATACTGAATGCTGAAGCCAAATGACAACTATAGTTCATATCAGAATTTTAATTAGTAAATAGCAACTTAAGCATGGCCCATTAGTTTGCCTTTAATAACAATTTAATCCATTTAGATTGAACTGCTATGCCAAACTAAATTCAGGAGAGGCATTGATATTATATTTAGAAGCCCCTACTATCACCCTTTAACCAGATGGACAGAAGTAGCAATCTCACTTGAATTATACTAATTATTGCAATTTGTTTCCCACTTTTGCAATCTTTGCTCAGATCTGTGCCCAGTCCTTTATTAAGGAGGCCAAGAAAATATTAAATTGGAGGGGAAGAATGATTTTACCATTAATTTTTATTCTTAAATTACCCAGGAGGCATTTTCCACCTTGTGACAGCATTCCTTTTAGTGTTAAATAGTCCAATTTTTAAAACCTCCTCAGAGGAAGGAGCTATCTGTTTCCCAAAGCAGACTGAGAGAACAAGATTGGCCCTCAGCCTCAAGAACATAAGTTTTTCTATTTGTAATTTACTGCAGTGAAATGCAGAGTCGGGATTCATACAGTTAAACTATGAAATTCACTGTCCAAAGTTGTGGTAATGCTAGCAAAATAGGGGGAGACATCATTCTAAGGTGGAAAATGTTTCCTGCACAACTCAAGAAAATAAACAGGTGACCAGGACCCAAAGAAAGAAAAAGAAAACAACAGCAACAATGAATAATAAAAAAGTAGTAGTACACAGATCTCTGAAAAACTCCACAAACCTAGTTGTTGATACTAGCTGACAAATTATGTTGAGCTGAATTGCAAAAGGGGAATAGATTTTTCTTTTTCTTTTACAAGATCCCTGATTGGAATTCTGGAAAGGGACCAACTATGTCTGTTTTCCTCAATAAAAAGAGCTCCATATGCCCTCACCTGCAAGTGATGGGAGAGCAGTCCTACTACTTCTTTCATAATAGATAACTGACTGCCTGACCATTTTGGAGGCAGCTTTTTTTAAAAAAAAATAAAAATAAACCATTTCCCTCCATTGACTGTACAAACTGAGTTGGAAGAGGAGGCTGATTTGGTCCTTTCCTAAGTTAAAAAAAGGCTTAGCTTTTCTCCTTTCTAAGGAAGAATAAGAAACCTCCAGGAAACTAAACATTGGGCTATCTTAAAAGAGAATGTAAATAACAAGGGTAAAATAACCTCTCCTCCTCCTTGGATGCTACTTAGAAGTTGGCCCTTAACTCAGTAAAAATTGCTCTCCTCCATTTGGTGAGAAAAATCAAATAGTCCATCACTACTGGGAAAGACACTAATGTTCCTTCCCCCCCCCTCAAAATTCTTAGAATACTGTGAATGCTTACCTTTTTTCCCAAGAATTCATTCCTAAGCCATTTAGCAAAAGTCTGCATAAATGAAATTGTGACTGTAGCAGAGCAGATCTTGGCATCTTCTGATTTTCGCTTTTTGTATTATGATTCAGATAATATCCATGAGCATATTCATTTTCTATGCAACTCTGCTGCATTATTGCTTCAATGATATCACTAGCTTGGGCATGACTCATGCCAGATGGAGATGGGGATGGCTCATTTAATTTTACTTGTGGATATAAAAGACACTCAGGACTAGTACTGCCAATCTTTTCTAGCAACCTATCAAGAGCATCTTCTCCATCATCTATCTGAATGAAATCAGTTGGAGACTCAAAGTTCCGCTTATTCTTTTCCATAATCACCGAGAATTCTCTGTTCTTCTGATCTACTGAACATGTAGCTAATGGCCCATACATCAATTGTCCATCCCAGGAATGCTTTCCAGAGATATCCCTAACAATTACTCTTACTTCTGAGAAAGATTCTTCCAATTCATCATCCAGCTCCCTTTTTGAAGGAATCTGGAGGTAAGAAATGACAGTATTTTCATTAAATTCAAAGATCTGTAAATTGGGGCTTTGGAAGACTTCAGGTGAGAGTTCAGAAGATTCCATACAAGAATTGTTGTGATTTTCAGTAATAAGACTATGTAGAACAGCAGGACCTTCAGTCAGAGGATAATGGCCCAAATTGTTAACTAGATGTGCCATAATCATTCGTGCTGTCAGTGGTATTAACTCCAAGCTCCTCCGTTTCATTTCTGAAAATAGTTAATCATAACAATGATTAAAAAATAAATAAAACAGCCCACACACACAGACACACACACACACAAAACCACAGAACTTTCCCAATTTTGTAACTTAGGACAAGGTACATTTTCAATTTTTATAAGCTTCTAAAATGAGAAAGGTACAAGCTATACAGTCTGACAAGAAATTAACTAATAATATAATTTTAAGAACAGTAGCTAAAGATATTCTAATTGTGGATTTGAAACTAGAGACAGGTTGGCTCCAAGTATAAAGGTACTTGGAGGTGAAGGTACCACATTATTTAACCATAAATTAAGACTGAAGAAATATTAGGAGACAGTTTTTCATAAATCTACATAAGAGAGCAAAAGATCAGGAACAGATTATTATTTCAAATTATTTCAAATAATCTGCAATAACTGTTTAATTTGCTTCTATCTATGATGCTGTGAAATTTTGGCAACAATATACAAGGTGTGTGGTCCAGATTGAAGTCTACTGCAGCGGTCCCCAATCTTTCCAGATTGGAGGCCTGGCCCAGCACAGAAACATGTCAGTGGCAGGTGCACATGCAAGTACAGCTCCACTTATGTGAGCCTTGTACTCGTGCAAATGTAGCTTTGCATGCAAGTAGAGGGTGCTTGCGCTCGTGCACAAGTGGAGGGTGCTTGAGCTCATGTACGAGCAGAGGGTACTTGTGCTCGTGCGCAAAGCTTCAATTGTGTGAGAGGCAGATACTTACACTCAAACACGAAGCTCCATTCACATGAGCGGAGGGCACTTGCACTCGTGTGCAAAGCTCCATTTGCCCTCTGCTAGCGTGAGTGGAGCTTCATGCACGTGTGCTTGCCAATCTCTCCGGCAGCCCAGTTTCGAACAGGCTATGGACCTGTAATGAGTCATAGCCTGGGAGGTTGAGGACCCCTGGTCTACTGCATCATCCCATTGGACAGTTACCCTACTGCCTCCCATCTTTTTGTTCCAAGTAAGAAACAGCCAAATGCTTTGCTTCCTGTAGGCAAAGCTGAATGCACATAAACATTTTTTAAAAATATTGTTTACATTTATTTAAAGATACACGAACAGTTAGAAACAGTAAAAAAAGAATAAAAATATGAGGGAAAAGAGAATATATTAAAATGTTGCAAAATACAAAATATTGGTTTTTTTCCTTTTAATATTCTCTAAAATAGTTCCATAAGAAAAAAAGAATGGAGATGGAGCCAATCAAATGGTAAATTTGATTATATTGCTGCTGTCATGGGGGTGAGTGGGTAGTTGTTTATGTTTAGATTGTGATTCTTAATGTTGTGAACCTTTTGGAGTCACCTACAGTATACTTGAGTTGGGGAAAGAAAGAAAAAGAAGGAAGGAAGGAAGGAAGGAAGGAAGGAAGGAAGGAAGGAAGGAAGGAAGGAAGGAAGAAGAAGAAAGAAAGAAAGAAAGAAAGAAAGAAAGAAAGAAAGAAAGAAAGAAAGAAAGAAAGAAAGAAAGAAAGAATCCACTGTTGGTCTTACAAGTCACTGGGATACATATAAAGATAATCATAGAACTGTTTGGCATTTTAAGAAGTAATACTGGTAGAAGCAGATCAGAGTTTGACAAAAACAGCCAAAGTTATAAGAATAAGTAGTTGAAATAACAAAAAATTGAAGAAGTCCATCCTTAGCTTTATGGTCTGTCAGAAAAAAAAATAATGTTCTAAAAACTTATGCTGGACCTGCACTAGGCTATGTGCAAAATTATATATTAGGATTCCCTATTAAATTTGGTATCAGACTTACTTTTAAGATATAAAGTTATACCTGATGTTGATGCATAAAACTTAATCTGCCAATCTTCTAATGTCAGGATTGAATGTAATTTTCAATGAAAAGCATAAAGTATCTAGCAATATTTATCCTCTATAAAGCCAAGTTTCCATACTCTCTAGGAATCTAAGGTTTGATTTATACTTAAGAAGAAGAAGAATTGGCAATAAACCATGTAAGTATTTACAATTTGTTTAAACTTATGATGAACTATTTTCTAAAGCTGTTGAGCTTTATACATTGCCACCAGATAGGAAATAATGATCAAACTTGATTCTTATATTTCCAACAGTGTTTTGAATATATATTATACACTTTGGCGATCAACACTGGATAATATACCAACTAATGAATTCTCACGCCAGTTTTTCCTAACTATAATATTCACAGTAAATTTAGTATCTACCTTCCACCAATATTCCCTTTATTGCATACCAACTGTCCTGTTTAAATTCTGCACCCATATAATCATATAGTCTTTGACTTTTCTGAATCACTTTTCAATAAACATTTATATAGAAGCATTCCAAATTCAGATTAATTCCTTAATATGTCATCCTATATATCCCTTTTCATATAAGCATTATATGTACATGTGTATAAGGGGCATATACTCAAACATGCAAACATAAAAAGTTATATATCCAAATGCATCAAAATGCACAATTGCTTTTAAAATAAAAAAAACTCCTGTTTTGTGAACCATTTGCTCTGTAATAATTTCTAGACCTTCCCTTTAAAATCAGAAATAAAATAGCACAAGGGCTTCACATAGTAAGAGCTTATTAATTCAGATAGAAATGTTACTCTATCAACTATTCATCTCTTCCTGCTGCTTCTTTAACTGCAGGCTCTCTACATTGATCAGTAAGCAAACAGTTAAGATACCGGTTATCAATTGCTTACTTTAAAAGTTGAGAAGGAAAAAAAAATGCACCAATTTCAGCTGCATTTGTGGGAAGGGAAAGTTGACAGATCTGATTATTTTAAAAAAGAAATACATTGATACAAAAGAACATTAAAAAGAAATGAACTTTATGAGGTAGCAAAAATTGAATATGTACTTTATATTTATAAGGAGAAATATATATGAACTGTACTGTGAATTGTCAAAGTAATGGCATCTTTTATACATGATAATTAAGATTATCTATTGAAATACTGAATGTATTTTATTTGTATAAGAATAATAACCAAATTACTTCAGTTATTTGTTTCAGATAACAGTTTTAATTTCATTGGTTACAAAGAAAAAAAAATCTTCAAATTTACAGAGATGTGAGAAGCCCGTTATTTCCATTTTTTTCTTTTTATGCAGATATTATTATCATCAAAAATAGCTGAAAATCACTGCATAAGCTAGAAATTGGTTAGCAGTGCAGCAGTTGTGTATAGGATGATACATGTGTCTTCCCGGTATAAATAAATAAAAGTGAAGCACACACACATAGACACACTTATTACTTAAATCTCACAAGATTGACAAACCTCATGGTGCTCTCATCTTAAACCTTCATTACTTATTCATACATTTTTTCTACTATACTTTCTACTCTGGGAGCTCAAGATGGTATGCATGGCAATCTCCTCCCCCCTCAGATTATCCCCAATTAGGTTGGGCTGAGAGTGAGTGACTTGGCAAAGGTCACTTAATGAGCTCTACAGTGAGGGAGGGATTTAAGTTCGATCTAAACCAGGGGTTCTCAACCTTGGCAACTTTAAGACTTGTAGACTTCAATTCCCAGAATTCCTCAGCCAGCTTTGCTGGCTGAGGAATTCTGGGAGTTGAAGTCCACAAGTCTTAAAGTTGCCAAGGTTGAGAACCCCTGACTAAACCAATACACCACACTGGCCTTCTGAACAAAGAATGCCAAAACCTAGTGAGATTTGATGATCCTATAATATTTTGATTATTTTAAACAGACCTTTGACACCATACTAAGAACCATCTGCAGTTTTCTAGTCAAGTACAAATGTCCCTGGAGGAAAGACCAAATGTCACTATGAAATATTATTCTTGAGTTTTCTTCTTGGTTATTATAAACCTTGAAGCTCAGCTTCACAAGTAAAATTACTGGGTCCTAGATTATTATTGGAGAAGCCCTCTATAAAAGTTTCTTGCCAAATGTTATAATGTAAGAATGCTTAGATGTCCCTTGTTTGCATACGTCAGTACAGGATTTTATTCTAAGTACAAAAACTGTTCCAAAAGTAATATTTATTGAAAAGGAAGCTTCCCCCTTGCCTTGTTGTAGCTCCTTGGAAAAGTACTGCATGAACTCTCTGGCCCTCAAGGAAGAGTTGAAATGTGAGCAAGAAATTGTAGTTAACAGAAGAGAAAGAAGTCAAGTGGAAGCAACTTGCATCAGTACATGCTCCAACATGCTGCCAAAGATTTATCATATCTTAAACATAATGCTTACATTTATTAGGGTTCAGTTCTTGTAAAACGTGTATTTTTCTTTTCCATTTACTTTTCCATGAAAAGTGAAAGGTGCTATTCCCTTTCAAATTATTTATCTCAAAGGAGCTTTTTCATGAGGCAACTGGACTTTCTTGTTTTTCTTTGAGGACGTTTCACTTCTCATCCAAGAAGCTTCTTTGGGATAAATAATTTGAAAGTCAAGTTGCCTCGTGAAAAAGGACCTTTGGGATAACTATGACTTGGATGACTGAAAATCTCCACAGACATTTTTCAAATTATTTCTTACCTTCAGCAACAGTGAGCAAATTATTCAGGTCTGCAGAAGACTGAACCGGAATTACTTCAGAATTCCTAACGTTTCCTAGGGGCATAAAGGGATCATAGAACTCACTGGAGAGGTCCGCAAGACTTAAAAGATAATGGCTTTGCTGTGTGTACAGGTTTGAACCATAAACACAACAGTTCAGGATCTGCAATAAAACAAAATATATATATATATATAATGAAATACCACAAAAGCACTTTGGGGATGTTAAATCACTCTAACTCAGTGTTTCCCAAACTTGACAATTTTAAGGCATGTGGACTTCAACTCCCAGAATTCCACAGCCAGCATTGCTGGCTGTGGAATTCTGGGAGTTGAAGTCCACATGCCTTAAAATTGTCAAGTTTGGGAAACACTGCTCTAACTTGAGCTTCTAAGTGTTATGAATACTACTAAATTAAACATGAAATTAAAAATATTTGAGTAATTCCTAAAACAATATTTTTTAAAATGGAAGATATAGATATAAAGAAATAGCCACTATCTCAAATAGGGTACTGAAATGATACTGAAAACCTGTTCTATTTCACATTTAAAGTACACTAAGAATATAGAAGACTCCTGCGAGTCCCTTGGACTGCAAGGCATTCAAACTGGTCAGTCCTAGAGGAGATCAACCCCGACTGCTCTTTAGAAGGCCAGATCCTGAAGTTGAAACTCAAATACTTTGGCCACCTAATGAGAAGGAAGGACTCACTGGAAAAGGGCCTAATGCTGGGAAAGATTGAGGGCAATAGAAGAAGGGGACTACAGAGAATGAGATGGCTGGATGGAGTCACTGAAGCAGTAGGTGTGAACTTAAATGGACTCCAGAAGATGATAGAGGACAGGAAGACCTGGAGGAACATTGTCCATGGGGTCGCGATGGGTCGGACACGACTTCGCAATTAACAACAACAACAAAGAATATAGAAAATAAATGGGACAACGATACATTTGAAAATGTATCTAATATAACAGCAATCAAAAAAGAATTAATAGTGTCCATAGCACATGTGTTAATGACAAAACTGGTGTAAGAGTGTGGGCAGAATCTCAAAGAGCTGTACACAAAGCCTGGTGTAGTTCATCAAAACTATGACTTTTTTGTAATTTTGTTTTGATTCAAGTATGCTGCTATTCTTATTCATAGGTATTAGGAAGTGAAATATTTAGGTATGATCATTCATGCTTACCCTATAAATATAATTGAGCAATGGAGTATTAGAAGAATAATGATTTTCAAAACTGGAAGTAAATACAGGTTCCAACAATATCTTCGCTGGCAATGTCATGCACCAATCCAATAAACAAAGTAACAATGAAACTATAAACTAAAACAGAAAAATGTCCAAAAATTAGTTCCACTCTTAGAAAGTTGGAAAACCTGACCTAACAAAATGAAATTTACCAGGTAATATATGATGTCTAATATGAACTGAAAAATCTATGAACAAATACCACTTATCAGCAGTAAAGTCGTTCCTGGTCATCTATTTGAACTCTAAAGCTGAAATTTGCTCTCTTCCCACAAAACAGCAATTATCAATCAAACAAGCCAAATTGCCTAATTTAGACATCAGCTCTTCATATTAACTATGCAATATTGAGACAAAATGAAAGCATCTAATCATTACACACCTTTTTATCACTTTCCACAGAGGAGTATTCTGCACTTGGTAAGAGAAAGGCAATAGTGGCAACAAGGACCTGTGACAAAGCAATTTTAAAATACATTTATAGAAATGTTTACTTCCCCAATCAATCAAAGCATGGGACAGCTCAAAAATATCAATAGTATATGAATAATTATTTTGTAATTATTTACCCATTACCTTTTTTCTTCAACTCTATTGCCTAAAACAATTAGCAAAGTTTCTAATAGAATAAGAAAATTTTTTACCAATGCGATTTTCTTTTCCTTCAGAGATTTGCAGTCAGCTAAATCTCTTGAACTTGTAAAGATGAATCTAAGCAATCAGCAGCTTAATGCCCTAGAACAGGGGTAGGCAACCCAAAACACTTAAAGAGCCACTTGGACCCGTTTCCCACCAAAAACAAAACACTGGGAGCCGCAAAACCCTTTTGATATCTAAAATGAAGATAACACTGCATATATCCTTTTTTACCTTTATGATAGGTGTGTGTGTGTTTGTGTGTGTGTGTTTGTGTGTGTGTATGTATGTGTGTGTATATGTATATGTATGTATGTATATATATATATATATATATACACACACACACACACACACACACACACACACACACACATACATACACACACACACACATATATACACACACAGGTAAAAAAAGGATATATGCACTGTTATCTTCATTTTAGATGTCAAAAGGGTCTCTCTCTCTCTCTGTCTCTCTCCCTCCCTCTCTATCTGCCCTTGGTCTGCCACTCCTCTTCCCCCGCTCTCTTTCTTCTCTCTCTCTCTTTCCTCTCTCTCTCTCTCTCTCCCTCCCTCTCTCTCTCTTTCTCCCCCCCCCCTCCTATCTGCTGCTCACCTGGCAAGCTTCAAGCTGTTGTCCAACAAGCTTAGGGGTAAGCAACCTCGTCTCTTTTATGACTCATGGACTTCAACTCCCAGAATTCCTGAGTCAGCCTAGCTGGGCTAGCTAGCTCTCTCCTGCCCTTCCTGCTTCCTGCTTCCTGCAGAGACGCAGCAAAGGGAGGAGCTCGCCCAGTAAGCTTTTCAGCTCCTCGGAGAACACTGTGAGTGCACTCTCTTTTACACACACACACACACACACACACACACACACACACACAAACACACACACACAGAGAGAGAGAGAGAGAGAGAAGCAGGGAAGCACAATTGCCTCTCTCTGTCTCTGTCTCTCTCTGCAAAGACAGAGGAGGCTGGGAGCCACAGGGGAAGGCTCAAAGAGCCGCATGCGGCTCCGGAGCCGCAGGTTGCTGACCTGTGCCCTAGAACATCCTACAGAAGCTTTTTATCAATGTTGCAATAGCTGACACTATGTTAATAACGAACAATGATTGTGTGAATGGACATATGAGTAGCTAAAATAGAAACGGCAGTCCTAAAGATAGCAGATGCCATCTGTGGTTAATGAAATGAGTAAAGATTCCCCTGACACTTAATTTCTGATGCCTTGATATACTTGGAATGTTTGCAAATGGTGGACTTATATAAATTTTGTCCAACATTTTCTTATTAATAAAAGCAGGCAAAGATTTATACAATCTGAAGAGAATCCAGAGTATGAAATAGGTCCCCCAACATGATCAATATCCAACATACCAGCACTGGTCCTTAGAATGAACTAAATTCACTGTCCCCCAGAGGGAAGGAGGCAAAGTTTCCTTGGTATGACAAAAAAACCAAATTAACTTTTGGCAGAAAAGAAGGATTTGGATGCAATTTCATTGTCATGAAAAAGCACAATTGACAACCCTCAGACAGAAATGCAACTTCAAAAATCTATAAGTAGATGTGACTTGCACTAAGTGAGAATGAACTGTTTCTAGAAATGACTAAAAGCTATAAAGGGCCAGCAGTATCAACCATAAAAATCTAGCTGAAGTTCCAAGTAGAGAACTAATTAATGCAATAATCCTTTACGTTTTAAACATTGATATAAAAAGAAACTGAAAAAAACTCCATCGCAACTTCTGAAATAGGTACATTTAAAAAACGGAACCAGCAAAATATTGGTTCCTGCATCATATTTTGTGGGTTATTAGAAAAAGAATAAGCCTAATTAGTTTATATGTTTTGTAGTAAATTGCATCCAGATGGCTTTGGCAGCAAAGGGAGAGAGGACCCAAATACACCACTACAGAATTACTAGCGCTGTATCTGTTGAGAGGGACATAGAACATGAAGTGGTTTGTGTTTTCTAAAAACATTTTATAATTATTTTAAACAGCTATTGAAGTGCACAACATCTCCATTAGCACAGGAGGATTAAAATGTGTCTGCTCCAAATAAGGCATTACGTCTCACTTAAAAAACAACCATTAAAAACAAATACCAATTTCCATATATAACTATTTTGGACACGAAACATACTTCAATAATTTTTTGGGGTAGAGAAATGTTGTATTTCTGTAGTTTTTCCCAGTAAGATGTCAATAACTGAAAGATATCACAGGCTGCTTGTGCAATCTGCTTGTTAGAAAACTGCAAAAATGAAAAACAAACGAATAAGAAATAAAGGACCAACACCATCACAAGTGGATTGTTGTATTTCCAAAAATTTCTTTCTCACTTTCTATTACATAAATTCTCAAAAGTGGGATCTACCCATCTTCCATATACACACACATTGGAAGTAACATTAAATTGGCCTCTGTGCATTATGTGACTATATCCAAATGTAAATGATGCTACAATCTCAACCAACCATGATTTAGGCCAGCAGATGGCTTTTCCCATTTGACTCTGTAAATTGCTTAGAGAGCTGTAAAGCCCTATGAAGCAATATGTAAGTGCTATTGCTAAATGCTATCTCCCTTAGAATACCGTAAGATCCCTTAAGAGGGGATGGGGTTAACAATTCTCAAAACAATTGTTTTCAGGTCTATGCATCCCTCCTAACAGAATATTATGCTAAATGTATTTGCTAAGAAAAAGCAATATCAGTCATAGAGGGTAAGAAAGTTTTTTGCTTTGTTTTTAATTTTAATTTCAAACATGAAAAACTGAAATCAGGTTATAAAATACAATTACATAATTCTTTTGGCTATACTGTAACTCAGCAAGTAATGACTATATATAAGATCCAGGCACATCATGCCAATGCAGTCCTTCATATGTTTCATGAAACGGGCCCTCTACAAAAGCTTGAATTATAACAGCTTTGTTTAGACATTAGAAGACTTGTTGCTCTAAAAGCTTACTCATACTAAAAAAATTGTAAATATATAATTTACTGTCTCTAATACATGACAAATGTTTCTGATATTTTCAAAAACATAATAGACCAAATAAATGAACCTTCTGAATAACTTAACAAAGTATTCTAAGTGAATACTTTTGTTTGTGGTCAGCCCACACAGTTGAATGCACTTAAAATCATTTGCTATGCTTGTACCTTTAGTGTCACACCAAAAACATTTATTGCATCTTTTACTTGAGGATGGTTGGTACAGTGCACAAGTTCTTCACATATCCAAAGCCCAAGACAGCAAAGGGATAAATACCTTAAAAAAGAAAGTTTACTTTGATAAGTCACAAAGTCTTCTATATTTCTTATATTAGTAGGGTCTGTAACTGAATTACAAAAAATCACCATGCATAAAGTTCAGATTGTCACTATTTTAGGATAATTATTTTTTTATTTTAGTGTTAAATGTAAACCCTAACATTTCTGCCATAAAAAGCAATGTTTGGTCTTTTGCCTAAGCTGTATTCATTTTTTATATTTATAGTCTAGCTTTACAATATGAAGGGTCTTATTCTACATGTAAGGGCAATCAAATTACAATTATTTGTCCTCTTCTGTGGACCACTGGCTGTACTTGTAATTTACTTTGAGCTGAAATAATTTTTATCTTGGACAGGTAGACATGTCTTTTTTCACTAATATATGTTCTTTAATTATATTCTGTAATATTTTATGTTTCATTCAGGATTTTACCTTGAAGCTTCACTTGGTTCCTCTTTGGCATTCTTTAAAAGAGTATTTATGAGGCAAAACTAGAAGAAGAAAAATTACAAGAATAAAAAGTTTCTTCTGACAGATGTATTGTAGATTTTTTGCTTATTTTTCAATAAAATTAAATAACAAAACGTAGAGAAGACAAAATAAATAAAGTTAATTAACTCTTTGGGCATTTCGTAAATCAACAAATGAACAACAGTATTCCACATGAATTTGGAAAAATGCTACTTAATAAATAATGGCAAAATGGAAAATATAAGTCTATTTAAAACACATTAACATTTGTTTTTGTGGCGAGATGGCAACATTGACCCTCAAATAGCACATCTGAGCTCACCGAGACTATCCTTTCTCTGCAAAAATGTAAACTGCTTAATTATTTAAAAGTATTTTTTTAAAATTCAGGGACACATAAGTGTTATCCATAAGAAATTCATTATACCTGTTATAAATGACTTAATACAATTTTTTTAAAATACCATTTCCCTAAATAATGAGGAAAAAGTAGAACTTCCAGGCAGATACTATCAAATAAATACATTGTACAGCTCTTTTAAAGTTCTTCCACTTTTCTGAGCCAATGGATAAACTTAAAATTTTGAGATGATGGTTTAAGTAATTTCAACAAGAGCTACCATAGGAAAATAGCACACACCAGCAGGCAAACAAGGCATTAGTGTATACATTCATCATCTTATTTTCTAAGATAGAATTCAGCAGTACTGTTCACAATAAAGTTATGCTGGAAGCTGTACTTTGAATGCTGTGTAAAACATTTAAAGGAACATGTGGAAATATTAATGAAACATCTGTTTTATTATTAAACTTGTCTGTATCACAAAAAACTATCCCCTCCGAAACAAAAAGGCTGTGTAGAGGCAAGACAACATGTGGATGAGGCAGAGCAACTACCTCATTAAAGCTTTGGAAGTATTCTTTGAGTATATAACTATACTCACACTAGTTTTAACTTTAACCTGATTTAAGAAAACTTGTTTGGACTGTGACGCTATGGCAATAATGTGTAAGATATTTAGTCTGAACCATAGGCTTCCATATCCTTCCTTATGGCTGTTCCACTGTTGCTGTGTTCTCCCATCTTTCTGGTTCAGGAAAGCAACAGCCAGTTGATTTCCTCTTTATGTACAGGTCTTTCTACACACAAATTGTCTATGTGAAGACAGAAAATGGGACTGTATATGTACTGCTGAAGTGAGTACTAAACAAATGCATACACACACACACATATATAAATATATATTCATAATTAAAGCAATTAAATTATCCAAAAAGGATTTAAGAATTACAAACTTTTCTTACAGATCCCTGTCAAACCTGACAGAAATATTGTATAATACCTGATATGGCAGGAATATCCCAAAGTCAGTGATTAATGCTAAGCCTGAGGTTAATGTTAAGCCTTAACTATATATTATACTGAGAAATATTTTATTTTATTTGTCCTATAATTTTGTTCAACTAGTTTCCGTGGATAAAACTAAATACTGAAGGATAAAAAATACATACACACAAAACCATTTTTCTTTAACTTTTTCCATACTATTCATGATTCAATATCTCTTTCTATATATTATCTTAGAGGTGTATTTTTTACCTTGCTTTCATTCCAAAAAAGCTTTAAATTCTTTGGTATTTCCTAATAGGGGAGTTGCTTCAATGACTTAATCATTTTGGTTCTCCTTTGCTCCATCTTTTCCATCTCTAAAATATCCTAAAATATCCTTGAAGACATGACTACTCTGGTTCTGGGTTTCTGTTGAACTGTTGATCATATGTGCATTAAGATCTGAATCTCTTTTCTGTATCTCAGCATAAATAAATTTTAAAAAATGGTCTTTTCTATATCATTTAAAAGTAAGAGAACAGCACAAATTAGATTTGCATAGCACCCTAACACACAGTATATATTACATGCAACACCAATTTCAGGAAGGCAGTCTGACTGCCTGTTATCATATAGATCAGCTCACAAAGAAAAAAAATTACTTTGACATCTGCAGTTTCTGTTGTGATTTCTGCTTCAGGAACAGATGATAGCAATGAAATGTCTTGGTAAAGGTTAGGAAAGCAAATCAGAGATCCAAGAATAGTATTTGCTTCTAAGCGAGGAGCCTATAACAAACAAATAAATGCATGTTTATATTGCTATATTAATAAAAATAGGTCCTGGTAATATCAAAACAGAAACCAGTGGTTAAGGCCACAGGTTAGAAACATGGAGACTGTGAGGTCTACTACTGCCTTAGGCATTAAAGTCAGCTGGGTGACTTTGGGCCAGTCACTCTCAGCCCAAACCACCCTTACAGGGTGGTAGTAGGGAATATAGGAAGAACTTTAATAGTAAAGCTTTGATGTGTTTCTTATATCAAAATGGCAACAATCTGATAATATAGCTAGAAGAGCTTCCAAAGTCCACAAAAAGAAGAATTCCTTCCCTTGAACATTTTCAATAGTCAATATAGCATAGAGGGAAGAACCTACAATTTCCATGTACAGTTTGATTCCATTTCATTCATTCATCAATGTTATGCTTCTCTAATGAAAATTGGTTTGTATTAAAGAAGACTTCAGTAATTAACCAAATCCCTAATTACATTTTCGAATATTCAATCTTAGATTATTGAGGACACCTGCTCAGGACACAGAGTTGTTCCTCCATAAATAAGTGTGAGTCATCTTGTAAACTGGATCTGATTTTATGACCTTTTTTAAAGTGGCCGTTAAGTGAATCTGATTTCCCAATTGTCTTTGCTTGCAGGAAGCTAGCTAGCAAGGTTGCAAAATTCAATTACATGAGCACAAGATGCTACAATTGTCATAAATATAAGCTAGTTGCCAAGTTGCCAAATTGCGGTCATGTGATTGTGGGGGTTGTATGACAGATATAACTTTGGATGGATCATAAGCCATTTTTTCCAAATTGTGATAACTTTGAACCATCGTTAAATGAACAGTTGTAAGTTGTGGACTTCCTGTACTAGGAGTCCAGTGCACACCTTTGCTATATAGTTCATGCTGTTCTGATAAGGTGTTGATTACCCAGAAAAACAATTCAGGGAACAAATGTAATGTGAGGGAAGAAAAAAATTGTCACCACAAAATAACTTTCAATTGAGCAATTTTTGAATTTCTTATATGTTTGACTAAACTGCATGGGAAGCCAGATACAGAACAAAAAAGGTATTTGTTTTTCTTTTAAATGGCATTTTTTTATCAAAATGACTTAGCATTTCCAGACCTTCTTCTGCAACTACAAAAGATTATGCCTGAAAATATTAGATGGACTGCATAAATTCCCCTCATTCTATTTTTGAAAATGTATCTCTTTCTCAATGCACAAGTGATTAATTTCTGACCAGATCAGAAACTGAAATATGAATCAATGAAAAATGAGAAAAATGTTCAGATCTCAATCAAGTGAATTTTCATTTATTTTCAATACGACTGCATTTCCTAGCATTCAAAAATTCAATTTAATATTATATAATAAAAATATCATACTTCAACAGCATGAGTTCTGGCTTGGCTATGTAACTGACAATGAGAAGTCATCAACAAGATATTAGTTTATACTGCCAATCAGAAAGATATCCTAATGAAAAATATACTCCTACCTTGAAATTTGAGATGCTTGGCAAGTTATTTGAAAAAAAAAAACCCCATAAATCATTCTCCTCCAATGCCACACTGCACTAATGAGTTAGTACTAATTAAGAGTAGTGAAATCTGCACATTGTTAACCATCATACACTGAACACTAACATACTTACTTCCAACATATTTGTACTCAGAACCCTAGTTGCCGCTGTTATGAAGTCTCTTATTAGCAGTGTAAAGCCAGGTAAGCCCAAGAAGAAAAAGAATGGGGAGCAGTGTTTGATAATAGTGTTCAAAACATCCTGAAAAGAGGAAAAAATGAAATATGTGAATAAGTTAAGAGTTTTTCATTTGTCCTTAAAATCAGTATCCTGCAATAGATCATAGGAGAAAGATGCTCCGGTTGATGAGGACAAATGCACTGCAAGAAACCTAGCTTTATACAACAGGCTGTTTTGTGCAGAGTGCAGGTAGGGATGGGGAGCTGAGGTTATCTTCATTCTGGAATGAAAATTTAAATTTGAGTAAATATATTTCAATATTAAGAATGATTCTTTCAATATTTATATGTGAATTTTAAAATACACACATGCATGAGGGGGTCATTGGTGCTCTCTGAGCTTCGCAGTTTTGTTGCAGATGTTTCATCACCCAAACTAGGTAACATCATCAGACTAACACTGAAGATGTTACCTGGTATGGGTAACGAAACATCTTCAAGAAAACAACCAAGCTCAGAGAGCACCAAGGACCCCTCATTTCAACTCTGAGCTACAAATATTCTCCTTTATTGGTACACACATGCATGTGCGCACATATATTCTCCTTTGAAAATAACATATTGCCTGAGGAAATATCATCCATATAAACCTCAACACACAGGTACTTATGTTTATCAAGATTTCAGTAATGTTCAGAGGTGCAAGAAAGTCACTAACATGGAGAGGAAACAACCCTGATTGACATTATTTTTCTTATGTTCTTCTATCTCAGGCTAGTAAAGGAAATCCATAGGCAAGAAATCCATAGTAGCAGACCCGCCCCCCAATCCATGTCTACAAAGTTACAGCAGTAAATAAACTTTTTTGCCAGATAAACAATACAAATAGTAACGTGATGTTATTCCTCTTTTTTGCCATCATGGACCAAAACAGCTCTCCTCCTATGTCTAAAACCTGAAAGACTTATTTCAGGTTTTGAAGAATCTGTCTTCCAGCTTCTGTCACAAATGTATAAATATATAAATGACTTGTGACATGCGTTATGTCAAAAGGAAGTGCAGAAATGTATATAACTTTTCCAGCTCTGCTGCTTTTGCCATAATCAGAATACCATGTCTTGGTCTGTTGGATTAAATTTTAATTCTTTGGATTTGTTGCTAGAAAGCTGATCAGATCCTGTCTCAACAAGAGTGGCTGTTAGAAATAATCTAATAATCTGGCTGTACAAGATTTTTTTCCCACTTCTTTTCTGCGTTTATGCTGTAACCATTCTCAAGGCAAGTTCTTCAAATGGAAAAAGATTGCTACTTCTTCTAACCCTATAGGTAAAACAAAACAACTTATTAGAGAAAAAGATAGAAAATATAATAGACAAGAGGCGAACCTCATATTTAAACCTTCACATGAAAATAATTTAAATCAAACAAAAAAATTAAAAGATTTTTTTGTTTGATTTAAATTCTATTCTTCTTCTATACTTCCACTATGGATTTGTAAAAGCCCTACAGTTTTGTGTTTTTTTTCCTCCTTACAAGACTGATATTTAGGAAATATTAAATCAAAACTGTTATACTCCATATGACCAAAACTTTACAGTTTTATGCACTGATAATAAACACGAAACAGATTTTTCTCAAATATTGACTAAAAGGTAAATAAATGTTAGTATCACAACACACAGCATTTCCCTGTTCAGTTAATGTTCAAACTGGTTTTAATCACTTCCCATGTTACAATTTAAAGGCAGTATCAGTCAATGCAAACATTCTAAAAGAATGAGCAGATGGAGACTGGAGTCATGAAGTGGCTGGTAAACTCCTGTTCTGAAGGCAGAACAAAAGATCCACCTTTTCCATAATTACTGGACTGATTAATGCATTGCGTTTTCTCACAGCACACCTGTAATTATTGAGAGGTAAGCATTGTGCTATGTGCCTAGTGTCTGAACCAGCTCTATAGCAGCAGATGGGGCTACATCTCTGTTGACATATGTTACAATAAAATGACTCATGAATCTTGGCATGAAAGGCAGAGTACAGCATTTTAAAAGATTAATAAATTCTAATTGTTAATCTTGCTGGCTTTTTTCATTAGAGCCATGTGCCTATAAAAAGATTCCAGAGTATTTTTCAAGAAGAGGCTAAAGCCACATTGCATGAATAGACTAAAACTTCACTTTGCTTCTAAAGTGAGAGGTGATTGGGTTTGGGCCCTTTGGGATCTTTGAAACAAAGGACACAAGACACTGTAAAGTTCTCCTATGCAAATCTTAATTAAATAAATGGAACTTGAACAAACACACTCATGGCACATTGCAGCAGGTTGCTTCTATAGCTGAAATCAGTTATCATTTAGGTTGTGTATGTTTAAAATCATTCACTGGTAGCATAAAGAAGTATACATTATTCTAAAAATAAATCATAATAAATCTTTGTAAACCATATTTCTATGGTTCAATATACTGACTTTTTTGAATTGCAATATTTCTTAATTGCACTAAATATGATAATAGAACTGATTATATGAAATTTAAGAAAAAAGATATACCCACTTGTGAAACTTACTTCTGCCTGAAGCAATCTCCTCAAAATCTCTTCTTTGAGATTAAACTGAAGAACCAAACACCAAAATCATGAACATGATATTCCGTATCAATGTAGTGGAAGCACACTATCGCTGATATATACAAATCACTGATATATATAAATCACATCTCAATTGACATCAATCTGGCTAAACATATACCACCTACTCACTAAACACCATACCCACAAAGATGATGCCACTACAGAATACTCCATGTCCACAGAAACCATCATGAAACTCTTGGATCTATGCCTCAACACATACTTCAAGTTCAATGGGAAAATCTACAAGCAAGTACAAGGCACCTCAATGGGATCACCCATATCAGGCCCAATAGCAGAAGCAGTCATGCAACGACTTGAATCCATAGCTCTACCCACCATCCAGCCAAAATTCTGGACACGCTATGTTGATGACACCTTCATTATCATTAAGCACTCCCAAATTGAAGAAACATACCACTTACTCAATAACATATTCCCTAAAAATTAAATTCACACGTGAAGAGGAAACAGACAACAGACTCCCATTCCTTGACATCAGTATAAGGAGACTAGACAATGGAGACCTGGAAACCTGAGTCTACTGCAAACCCACGCACACAGACCAGATCCTCAGCTTTGCAAGCAACCACCCCACTGTACACAAAAGAAGCTGTATCCAGACCCTCTTCAGAAGGGCCAGGGCACACTGTAGCACCACAACACTAAGAAAAATAGAAAAGAAACAGCTGCTTAACATCATTCTCCGTAATGGCTATCCCAAAAACTTCATATCCCAACACACAACATCCAAACCACAACACACTATACAGCCAACCATCACTCAAAAACTAACCCTACCATATATAAATGGGGTGTCAGAAATGACAGCCAGAGTTCTTCAACCCCTAGGTTAAATAGCAATAGCCCACAAATCCATAGCCACACTCCACCAGGAATTATCCAAACCAAGACAAGATATAGAAGGATGAAAGAAACAATGTAATCTACAAAATCAACTGTAATCATTGCAACCAATTCTACATGGGACAAACATCACATCAATTAAAAATCAGGATCCACGAACACTGGCTAGCAGTCAAACGCCACGATCCCAAATCTTTAACCTCTACTCACACCAACACCAAATAGCACCAGTTCAATTGGAGCAACACAAAAATCATTGGCCACGCTACCACCCGCCATGCTTGTGAGTTCATCAAAGCCTGGCACTCCAACAAGCAATTCCATCAACAGACACATTGACCTACAATCAACCTACAAATCAACTGCACAGCCAACTAGAGATAGCACCGACCCTCAACCAACCCAAGCAAGAATCCCTCCCACCAATTCACCTCCCAATGACCCTGACCTGATGTAACCTCCCCATCACAAGACTCACTGATGACTCACACCCAACCCATCACAGACCCTCACTTGACAGACCCACACCTGAAGCCCTTATAAACAGAAGAACATTGACATCCCCTAAATTCTGCTGAAGATGTTACCTAGCCTGCTAATGAAACATTCAGAAACCAACCCCCGGAGAATGAACCTTCACCCTCATCCTACACCTGAGCTACAGATATTCGCCACTATTGCAAATATACAAATCAGTTAAGTCATAAGGTATCACAGGATCTTAAATATATTTGTTACTCATTTGTTCAGTTACTTCTGATTCTTCATGACCAAATAAGCATCAATTATCTAATTTCATCTGTGAGTAACTGTTTGGGTTCTTGTAAGCTCATGTTTGTTTCATCAGTAATAGTTTTTAACCACTTCATCTTCTGTCAAACTTTTTCAATTGGCGTTAATATTTACAACGTTAGGATCAACTTCAATGACTCTTGTTTTCACATTGTATGTCCAAAATACTTAAGCTAACTCCAATATTCATGTTTTCAGTGAAAACGCATCTTTTATTTAATCTAATATTGAATTATTTGTTCATCTAGTAGTCCAAGTTGTTCTCAATATTTTTTTTCTAGCACCACAATCCAAGTTTTTATTTTGGACTTTCTGTTACTATTATGCACAGAGAAATATATGTGAAGAGTGGGTCCAAATTATAAGATTATCATCAGGGCCCACACCTCTCTTGCATTTGCATCTGATAAAACAGAAGTACTGCTTTTAAAAAGTGAATGATGACGAAGGAAAAATACAGTGTTGCTTAAAAGAATTGTAAGCCCTTTTGAATTTTTATACACACAGAGACATGTTTTTAACTCATTTAATTGGGTTCTTTATGCAGTTTTAGGACATGTGGATCAACAATTTTTAAACACCATTGTATATGCCTGGAAGCTTTTATATTACCTTATATATTAAAAAGCTGAAAGAAATAAACTTAAAAATAAGTCCCACTAAACTCAATAGGACATATCCCTGATACAACTTCCACAAAGATAAAATATTGAAATCAGTGCCATTCTTACTGATCTCACACAGATCTATAGCTGTTTAGAGGGAGTAGGACATTACTGCTTGAAAGCTTGATTA